ACTTCTGGTACGCTGATCATGAGAATCCGTGAAACCCTTGCAATGTTTTACTACGAAGCGCGGCGCTAAGGCGAGAGCCACACTTCGAAACAGAACCACCCTCAATTCGTGAAACCCGTGCGAATTGTTTAGACGAGCACGCGCGGCGTTAAGGCGATAGCCACATTTTGAAAACGACCCGCCCTCAATCCGTGAAGCTCTTGCAGCTTTGAGAACGAATATGCGCGGCGCCAAGGCGAGAGCACATTTTGAAAACGACCCGCCCTCAATCCGTGAAACTCTTGCAAATGTGAAAAAGCGAGTACGCGCGGCGCTAAGGCGAGAGCCACATTTTGAAAACGGGCCGCCCTCATTCCGTGAAGCTCTCGCAAATTCTCATAAACGAATGTGCGCGGCGCTAAGGCGAGAGCCACATTTTGAAAATGACCCGCCCTCCATCCGTGAAACTGTTGCCACTTTGAAAACTTCAGAGTCATAAATGACAAGGAAGTCTCAGACGAAACGCCTCACCGCCCTAAAAACTGGCCTCGGGGTGCGACAGGGAGAAGTTATCTATAAGGAAAAGGAATGGAGGAGGAGCAGGAGAAGGAGGAGGAGGTTCGCCAGTGCCCGTCAGCTGCCCTGCAGGCTGGAGACCCCGGCGGCCCTTTGCAGGGCAGCGCGACCCGCACCTTCAGGCCCGCGGCGGCGGAAGAGGCGACGGGGGGCAACGATAGGGGGGATAGGCATAGGGGGGACGCATGGACCCCCAATCGCCCATTGATCGCCGATAGGGGCCCGATAGCCCCAACCTGCCCATGAAGGTGCGGATTCACTATCGTAGACCTGTCGCCAATCTATCGGCGATGTATCGCCGATTTCAGGTTGATGTTCCCCCCCTATGCCAGTCCCCCCTTATCGTTGCCCCTCAAGAGGCGACGGGGGGCAGGAGGAGCGGGCCCAGGTGGGAACCCGCTGGGGCCTGAGGCCGGAGGCGACGACACGGGGCGAGTAGCCTTAATTCGGGCATGTCCCTCTACAGGGGGGATATTCGAGAATAGTCCAAAAATAGTCTGGGGACGATTTCTCAACAACGCTTGACTATGTTTGAACACGTCTTGGCTGCTTGTCTTTCTCTGCCGAACGCCGCCTGTAGGAGGACATGCCCGACCTGAGGTTGGTCAGGAGGAAAAGAAACACACAGACACAATTAATCCGTGATTCCCCAGAAAATATGGGAAAATATGGGAAGTGGGGGGGAAGACAGAAACCCAGAAAATATGGGAAAATATGGGGAATATTTTTATTTGTGTGTACTTATTTGTGTGTCCTGGGGTCCCTTCAGTTGGAGCCGTCTGGGGTCTGAGGCCGGAGGCGACGACACGGGGCGAGCAGCCCAGGGGCGGGAACCGCACGCATTCGCCGGGGAGCCTGGCCGAAGGCACGGACCATCGGTGCCCCCCGTCGCCTCCTCTTGCTCCTCCTCCCCATTCCCCTCCTCTTCCTCCTCCTCTCCCTCCTCCTCCTCCTCCTCCTCCTCCTCCTCCTCCTCCTCCTCCTCCTCCTCCTCCTCCTCCTCCTCCTCCTCCTCCTTCGCCCGCCTCGTGCTGCCTCGCCCGTGTAAAAAAAATCTCTCTGGGGGTGCTGTCCTCGCTCCCCTGGGCTGCTTGCCGTCGTTCTCCCGTGGGCTGCTTGCCCCCACCGCCGCCCCCGGCGAGGTGCCCCAGCACTGGTTCCGGCCAGCAGGAAGGGCGGGCGGCTTCGAGGCGCAGGGTTCGGGACGCCTCTGTTGCCCTTATTCTGCCTCCTGGGGACGCTTTCGGGCCCCCGGACCGTTCGAAACGGACCCAGGGTGAGAAATTGCGCCAGATGGACCCCAGGAGGTTTCCCGGGACCAGTTTTGAGCGGGTTCGTTTGGGGCCCCATTTGGTTCAGACCTCCGGCCACCTCCAGAGCCCAGGCCTCACAAATGGGGCGCTGTAGGAGATCACCGAGCGCGTTCCACTGCTCGCAAAGTACCTGCTCGCAAACGTCCGAAAAGCACATGTCGGCTTCGACGAAATTTATCCTGAACCCGCCGCGGCGGATCCAGACCATTTGCGAGTAGTGACCTTGCGAGTAGTGGAACTCGCTTGCCTAGGAGAGCTTTCGCCTTCGAGGTATCGAGGTGTTGGCGCCGGTTCCTCGGCGGAGGGGCCGCGGCAGAACACGGGCGGCTCCGCGTGCGGAAAAGCCAGCGGAAGTTCAGTCGTCCCCCCGATGAGTGCAAGAGTTGTTGGGTCGAGGGCTCGAGTGGGGTTAAGGCGGGCCTGTCCCGCTACAGGAGGAAAATTCAAAATAGTCAAAAAAATAGTATGGGGATTATTTTTGGAGTATGTTTGACTATTTGGGGGTATTTTTTTGTATTTTACATTTATCGCCCAAAACCCCCCTGTAGGGGGACAGGCCCGATTTCAGAGTAGGAGATCGACGACAGAATTGATGTATCCCAAAACTGTTTCGCCGAGTCTACCAAAAATAAGCACACTGCGCAGTAGATCTACGAAGAGTCTACGCAGGTTCCATGGGTTCGACGAGAAAATCCATGATAGGGTGAACCAATTCTGTAGTCGATCCCCTACTCGAAGGGCTTCCGACACGGACCAAATCGGGTCAGACCTGACGGGGTCGAAGGATCGCGTCGCATCGTTTGCGCACCAGCGAGATGGATGGATGGATGTGGAGCCCGATTTTCCCCATGCCGACGGCGTCGTCGCCGATGCATCGGCGTTGCGGCGCGATCCTCCGGCCCCACCTACGCGGAACCCATTGGGGAGGCCTCCAGGACGGGAGATCGGGGTGCACATCACCGGAGTCGGCGCGGACGGAGGTCAGCTGATCCCGAGTGCACCCCTCTGGCCTGCCCTGGATTGGGAGGGCCGCTCGGGGCCGACCCCGTCGCCCCCATCCCCCCTTCGCCTCCGGTGGGCCCGGACTCCTGCCCGCGTTGGTGCTCCCTCGCTCGCTCGCCCCGCCGGCCTGGGTCTGGCAGCTGCGCGGCCTAGGTTCGCGAGTGCGTTGGCTGGCATGGGCCGGGGCTGACCTGGCACAGCAGACCAGGTCGATCCGAGGGCAGATCTTGACTTCTTGTTTCGCTCCCCGAGCTCACGGCGCTTACGGCGCTTGGGGGGCCAATGCAGGACCTGTCCGCGCTGTCAGTCCCCTCGACGTTCTCCTTTCACGTTCTCCTTTCTTCTCCCAACATTGCACCAGAAACCAAAACAGGGGGGCAGATCACGCCTCGTCCCCAGGGGAGGTCCCTAGCTGGGCGAAGAAGACCGTAAGCAGTGAGCTGCTGCAGAGGCAGGCTGGCACGAGCTCTCGAGGGCGCAGGCGTGGCCTGCGGAGAGAAAGAGTAGCTGTGGCGGTGAAGCAGGGCCACCAGTTCATCCCAATGCGCAGCGTGCGCGAGGACGCACCCAAAATGCATGTAAAATTCGGGCGCGTTGAATGCCAAGCCTGTTTCAAATGACTTCCCAGATGTTGCGGACCACGAGCTCGCAGTCTTCGAGAAAGCAGCAACTAGGTAGAAAGCGCGGTCCTTCTCCTCCCCCACCTCTCCCTCTCGTCTTCTGCCTGCGTCCTGTACACGATATCGTTGGCTATTCCAAGCCTGGGGCTTGCTGCAGCGCGTTCGCTTTCTCACGGGCAACGGTCTGCTGCAAGATGCCTGTTGCAGGTCGGTTTGTGTAAATGTCTTGCTTCGCCTGGCAACCTTTCGATGCGGCTTGCAGCTGCCGCGTGGTCGAGCTGAGCAGGGCTGGTCGTGCTCCGCACTACCCCACCCTCCCCCCAAGGAGAAACACGAGAAGCTAAAGCAGTATATGCAGTACGGTCGCGTCAGGTCAGAAGACATGTTATGTCAGAGTGAAGCAGCACATTGTCGAAAACAGCGGCTCTCCGCGTGTTGAAGCAGCCACCGTCTCCTCTGCACAGAGTTGTGGACAGCCAACCTTCGTCAGCTCCCGAGGCCCTCGTATGAAACACAGGGAGGCAGCGGTTCACAAGATACGATGATGGGCACAGTGACTCAAAGGCAGACGCACCCTGCGCCCCGCGATCACACCAGCCTATCACTCGACTTGTGCCATCTACCGGTACACCTACACAGGCGCTTACAGGTGCATGCACGCGTTTTCATGCTCCTGACACACGTCTGCAGCGCGCATCAAGGATCTAGGTCAGGGTGCCAACGGGACAACATACCCGACACTTGCAAATCGACATGCACACATGATCAGTTGCACGGATCCGAGTCTGAACACAAGTTCAGCAGTGCGGAGCGTAAAAGGTGCATAAGCGAAATGATCGTAACCTTACACGCGCGCGCAATGCCATGACTTGAGATCCGGAGCAGCGCAGTGCGACACAGCGCAGCGCAGTGTGGTGCATTGCGTACTGCTATATGGGCACGGACGGTTCCATGTGCCAGAGGGACGAAGGGACACAGGAAGACGGAGGCATAACCTTCTCTTTCGAGCAGTCCTCTACCAGAGGCGATGAGACCGGGGCGAGAGCGGAAGGCACAGGGGGTTTGGCCGGTCAGACGGAGAGCCGAAGGGCGGCCGGCGAGCGGGCTCGTCCCGCCCGTCAGACGGGCCACGCCGTGGCCCGTCAGTGCAGCGGCGCCCAGGCGGCACGCGTTTCCGACGGGCGCGGTGTACGAGGGCCAGGAGAGCGGGTTTTCTCTGTCGAGGTGTACAGGAGAGCGGGTTCTCTCTGCACGAGGGCCAGGAGAGCGGGTTTCCGACGGGCGCGGAGGGCCAGGAGAGAGCGGGTTTTCTCTGCCGACCGCCGCAGAAGCTCTGGGGCCAGGCCGCACTCGGGCGTCCCCATGGTCGTGCACTGCGGCCAGGAAGAGTGGCCGTGGCCTGCGTCCTCTTTATCTTTCCTCCCTCTCCTCCCCAGACATCGGGCGCCTCGGAAAAATCAGGACGGAGTGTCTTCAGAGTTTCTGGCCTCCGGGGGCCGAAACACGATTTTGGATGAAAAACCTAGCCCAGGGAATGGGTCGAGAACTCTGGGTGCCGACGTTATGGAAAAAAGAAGAGAAACAAAAACAACAAAAAACAAAAAACTACGTCGGGGGTCTGGGTCCTCCTCCACCATTCCTCCATTACGGAAACCTGGCCCAGCAATTCTTTATTCCATATTCCAGCCGCAGTATATTAATCAGCCCAGCTATGACAAATTCTGTGATGGCTTGAAGGCCTGTTCAAATCCGAATGAGCCAGGGCACCAATTTGCCAGCCTTCAGTAAGAAATCATCGAGTGTGGGGTCGATATATTGCAGAGCGTTGTCTTGGCCAAGTTGCCAGACTGTACAGTGTGGGGAGCCGTGCGTCTGGTGAATAACGGGAGTGTAATCGTCCACGCTTCCTTTCTGCCAAAAAACGGGCTAATGATTGCGCTGGGAGCGCCACGACAAGAGGAATGCGAATAGTGTATTCGTGGATTGCGAGAGGGAGGGGTTGGGGGAAGGGGAGGGGGATTCACAAAAGAATACACGCACTCATTCCAACCCCACCTCAGGGTTGTGGGGGGGCGAGGATGCTCAGGTGCGCGTTCGCGTCGCCTGGATTCCAGCCCCCCCTGCACCTGTTTCGCCAGCGTCGCATCCTCCTGCCTACGTACCCCCGCATCATTGTTGAGCACCTTGGCCGCACTTCGTTCTCCTCCCTCTCCTCCTCTTCCTCCCTCCCTACCTCCTCCTCCTCCTCCTCCTCCCTCCCTCCCTCCCTCCCTCCTCCTCCTCCTCCTTCTTCTCCTCCTCCTCCTTCTCCTCCTCCTCGTCCTCCTCCTCCACCTCCTCCCCCTCCCCCTCCCCCTCCCCCTCCTCCCCCCCTGCAGCTCGCCCGTTCTAGTTGGACCCTCTTGCTTCCGCTGGTTCCACGAGGTGGTAGTGCCCATGCGAGTAACGCGCTGGCTTCTGCTGATCGCAAGATAAGCTATTGGCTTTGGCGTGTACTGGGTGGGGGGGGAAGTGGAAATAAATAAGGGGGGAGGACGAGGAGGAGGTGGTGCTGCGCTGCTTCGACGCGCGACTGCTGGGAGCATTCGTCGGCGATACTGTGCCCCCAACCTTCATTGATGTTCGGACAGGCGGAGGAGAGAGAGAGAGAGAGGTGGTGGAGGAGTAGAGGACGAAGAGAAGTAAGTGGAGATGGAGGAGGGAGACTAACGACCACGACCGACCACGATCACGAGCAGCAACCACGGCCACCAGTGGCTCGGTGAGCGCCGGGATGGCCACGGCAAGCAGCACTGGCCCGACGGCGCGAGCTACGAGGGGGAGTGGCGCTCAGGTGGCCGGGGGGGCCTGCCGCCCCCCTCCTAGATCTTCCCGCCATCCCCCGCCCCCTCCCCACCACCCCGCATCCCCCCACCCCACCACCCCGCGCCCCCCACCCCACCACCCCACCCCCCAGCCTCCCCCCTTTGGGTCCCCTGGCGCCCCATCACCACCCCACCACCCTTTGGGTCCACTGGCGCCCCCCTTTGGGTCCCACCACCCCACCGCCCCACCACCCCGCGTCTTCCCACCCCACCACCCCGCGTCCCCCTTCCGCTCTCCCCTTTGGGTCCCCTGACGCCAGATACGGGTCCCCCACCCCTCCGCTCTCCCCCGTTCCCCACCCCCAGTTAACGCCGATGTATTGTTTGTTTTGTTATTATTGTGTTTATCTTTATCGTTTGTTTCTCTCTCGTTATATCTATATATAACATGTATATATGTATATATATGTATGTACATGGACACATACATCTATGTATACATATATATATATATATATGCATATATATGGTTGTATGGTGTGTTAGTTCTCTCTCTAGATGTATGTATACAAACGCAAGTAAGCATACATATATATATATATATATATATATACGTAGCACAAATACATGTGTATACGTGTGTAGTTCGATGGTTTCTCCTCGTATATATACATAACACATCAATATGTATACATGTATGTAAATTTATGTATGTATGTGTGCATGTGTGTATGTGTATATATATATGTATATAAATTTGTATGTGTATGTATGTATATGTGTGTCTGCGCATAAACATGTATATATATATATATATGTGTATACATACATATATATATATATATGTGTGTCCCACCACCACCACCCCATTGTCGCCTTTTCTTTTCTCTCCCAGGAGCGAGCGCAGACCCTGACAATGGTCAGGCAGCGAGCGACTAGTGGCCGAAGCGTTCAGCGGAGAGCCAAATGCATTACGCCGGCGGCCGAGAGCGGTGCGGAAGGCAGGCTACGCTTTCTTCCTCTCGTGCGTAGCACAGTTTTAACCACTCCCTCTCTGGAGCGAGTCGAGGTCTTGGGGGGTCCAGGAAAGTGTTGAAGGGACCCTGACGCCCAAAATCAATCTCTGGAGCTTTCAGAGGGTGAGCGGCGCCTGGCCGAAAACGCCCCGAGGGCGCTCCCATGCGAGCCCGCCCGCACGCAGCAGTC